CTGGTGTTTGGCCTGTGGCAAGAACCAAGAATGCATCTGTGGGCATGAATCAATGCTCTTGGCCTAGAGCTGGGTAGGGTGAATTATATCCTATTGATCTAAATAATATTTGACTACAGTGGACTGTGAAGTGCTAATGAGGTGCCTCCCTTATTTTCTCCACTCCTATAGCCCACTTATTAAACATGTCCTGCCTTTCTTCCTTGGAATTCAGAAGAATATAAAGGTTTTCTAGGTAGTCTTCTATCCAGGTATTACTGAATTTCAGCAGGGTTACTGCATTTTCTTTGGAGCTGTTCCCATCAAAAACTGTCAGTCTAAATTCTTAGGATCAAACCATGTTACATAATATTTCATGTTTTAAAATGACTCCCCCCCAAAAAAAATGCAGTAGTGAGCTATTCAGCAGGGATGACTTTTTTCAAGAAGAAAACAGCAGTGGAGGGAAGTATTAGAAAGCTCCCACCCACCCCACGCCATTCTCATCATGGAAAAAGCGGCCCTGTTGAGTTGCATATGCAAAGGGGGGGGGGTAGGTATTTTCTATTAACACGAAAGAAAATGTAGCTCATAGTTTGACACTTAATAACATTATCAGTGCATCATTAGACTGTTTATCTCAGGTTTACATGTATGTTAGCTGAATGTTGCCTATATTTTATTTTACAAGAATATTGGGGGGGGGGTAATCATGCATGTTGAGGGGTGTACTTATCTGGGGGAATTGCCAAAGTTTAAGCCTGAGTATTTGTCAAAATAATAGTTTATTTTGCCTAGTTTTGGCAATAATGTTCAAGATAAGATTTCAACTCCTAGCATCATCCATTTTATTAATTTTTCTGTTTTGGTTGTTGTTGCTTTTTTAATACTCTGACCTGCCCAAAGCCTCAGAAGCAAAACAAGCTAACAGTCTATATTAAGCCATCATAATTTAATGATTGAACTCTTTCACTGTTTACTCTCTGACGTCCTAGAGTGAAATAAAAACGGAGAAGGGAATCTGCAAATCATCCTGTAGTGCCTTTTCATTTATAATTTCCTGCAGCCTCTTTTACCCCTTGAGGAAGTGAATAAATCATAGTTTGAAACGTCCCGTTTACGGGATGAGCAGGATATAAATGCAAATAAATAAATAAATAAATGTTGCTCTGATACAACAGGGAAGGGCAAGATCCATTTCATTCTGTTTATTTGCAGCCCTCGGAGCTGTGCTTATAAAAGAGGATGTCCGCAGAATGTATAGTACAATCCTGAACAGGTACACCTTTCTAAACACATTGAAGTCAATGGGCTTAGAAGGGCATTAACTCTGCTCCGAATAGCACTGTTATTGCTTACAACATGCCCAGCCATTACCAAGAAAGCCTATAAGTTTCTCATATAGGGTCTACTGTCCCAGGTCCTCGTCATGCAAGTTACACTTAACTTGTGCTTTGACGAATCAGGCTGCACATCTCCTTAGCAGCAATTCCTATTTAAGGTGCTCCTTTTCAAGTGAATTGTCTAAATCCTGAATGCTCTCATGAACACATAGACATATAATGCATGTTTTGCCTTGCTTTTACTGTGCCTATTAGGGTTGCCAGACTCCCCCAGTCTGGTGGAGTTTACCTGCTTTTTGGGGGGTTCATCCCACCACTGGCCACCTGGATGGCGGGGAAGCCCCGCCCCCAAGCCTGAACACCCAAAGCCATACCTCTCCCTTCTCTCTTGAGAGAGGGGAGGGAGAGGGGCGGCTGTGGGCAGTGTGCCTGAATTCCAATCGGAGATCGGGGCCCGGGCCCGCTGGCTGTGAGCACTTAAAGGAACCCCTTTAAGTGCTTGCAGCCAGCGGGGACCAGGCCCCGTGCACCTGATCTCCAAGCAGGGGATGTGAGCTCCTGCATTGCAAGAGGTAAGATCACCTTTAAAAAGGCAAGTTTCCCTTTAAAAGGTAGGGAAAAAAGCAGGGACATGATGTCACACAGAGTGAGATCATCTTGGTGGGGGTGGCCATGCCCCTTCTCGAATGCCCACTAATCCCCCTGCCGGGAAGATCAGACCTGGCAACTGTAGGATTTCTCTTTCATTCTGCATTTCCTTTCCTCCCTGCAGCACTCAGTTCTGTTCACTGTTTCCCCAGGTTTTCTGAGAGTGCTTTTATGCTGGTTTTCCCCTCGCTTTACTTCCAAGATGAAGTTAAGTCAAAGGCATACAGATTCTCTCAGATTTCCCCTGCCTCTACCAACACCTCGTAGGCCACTCCCCCACCCACATTTAATTTTTTCCCAAGTGGCATAAATCTAGCAGTATGAGACCATTGCTAGTCTCATGCCGCATGTAAAAGTAAAATGACCCTTGGCTGGGCTGCCCTCTCCTGCAACCTGGTTTGAAACCGGCAGCACAAGAAGGCAACACAGAGCTGTGCCTACAGAGAACCACCAATTCCTCAAAGGTACAGCGAGCTCCGCTGGGATGCCTTCTTGTGCCACCTGGTTCAAACTGAGCAGCACAAGAAGGCGGCACAGAGCTCGGTGTATTTACTCTGGGCTGCAGAATAAATACACTGGAGAAAAAGAATGGTGCATACTGCAGGCACAGAATTCGAAGTCAAGCTTAAAGTCTTGACTGCTCAGATTCTCTGCAGTAAGCTGTGTGTGCATAACAGGCCGCAGTTGTTCTCAAATGTGCCAGGTTCCCCAATCACTTTGATGCAGAGGAACTCATGTGTGTGCTAACGCTCAGGATCAGCGTGACCATTAATTAATTAAAATGTATACGCTTGTGATTATTCAGTATGATTATTTGCTGAAAAACTTTTTTCCTGGAAAACTTTCCTATATACTATGTCCCTATACAGAGCATGGTCACTGTTTACTGTAATATTGACACCTCAGGGCTGAACAAGGCTCTCGGATAATGGGTGATGTCAATCAAGAACCAGCAGTCAAAATCTATTCCGCTCATGTGGTTGATTGTCGCATGTAATATTGATCTATGGTTTTGAAAGCACATTACAACTAGGAATATGCTATACAGTGTCCCAAGTTCCAGTGATACACAGTGAATATTAACTTAACTGGCATGTCATTCATGTTTGAATCAGATTTACGTCAGGTCACAGAAGCAAGCATTATATACAATTATCATGCCTAGTGGGGTTTTTTTTTTCCAGTTTTGAAGATAAAATAATTGCTCAGTGAATTAACAAATGATAATAAGGTTTAATGTCTGAAATTGAAACCCAGCACATTTTCAGGCAAAATACATGTTTTGATGAAGTATTGTTTGCAAGATAGAATCACTCTGCTACATTACTTGCACACAAAAATATCTACTTCCATAAAGCAAAAGCAAATTACAACACATTTTAACTCAAAATATTAGCTTACTGTAATTCTAAGACAGCTCAGTCCAGAGAGACAATAGCCGATTCTGGCAAAGATCCAGCTCTTTGAATTTCACCGTGCATTTGACCCACAAGTAGCAATTTATCTTCTTGCAGTGGATCCGGTCTTAAAAAACTGCTTTCCGTGAAATTCTGTGCTCATAGCAATTGTGATCATAGCTGGATTACAAAAAATGTTTAATAACAGAACGCACTCAATTGCTGAGTCACGTCCCATCTTCAGGATACGCTAAACTGAATGATAAAGCACATGCTGTAAATGACTCCGATTCAATCACTGGCACTTCTACCTGGAGTATTTCAGATAACCCAGGCCAAGCAAAGCCAGTGCTGGGATCCCCATTGTGAGTAGACAATAAGTACACAATCAGACGATATCAGGCAGCTAGATATGCATGTAGGGATGGTTGTCTCAGTGAAGGAGCATATGGTATATAAGGAGCCAGTTTGGTGTAGTGGTTAAGTGTGCGGACTCTAATCTGGGAGCACTGGGTTTGATTCCCCACTCCTCCACTTGCACCTGCTGATGTGACCTTGGGTCAGTCACAGGCTCTGGCACAGCTGTCCTTGAAAAAGAGCAGTTTGTGTCAGAGTTCTCTCAGCCCCACCCACCTCACAGGGTGTCTGTTGTGGGGAAGGGAAGGGAAAGGAGTTTGTAAGCTGCTCTGAGACTCCAAGTGAAGGGCGGGCTATAAATCCAATCTCTTCTTCCTCTTATGTTTTGAATGCAGAAAGGTGCATACTTCTACATTCATTCCATGGCAACTCAAGTTGAAGTATCTCAGTTAAGAGGTGTTTTCCTACTCTCTGGTCTGCCTGGGTTGCGCTCAGTCTACAATACAGTCCTACATGTTGCTGCATAAGATTCTCTTCAGTCTGATTAGTGGCCTCTCCAGTTATAGCAATTTAGCTCGCTGACTCACAACACGTTTGTGGTTTGGGTGCCATGTGTCTACTTTCTTGCTTTTGGCAAATCCTATATGGCTCTTTGGAATGATCTGTATGTGCAGTACATTAAAATATGGAACACTTTACCAACAGAAGTATTATGTATTAGAGCTGACCTACATCCAGAGATATTTTTGTCAAAGATGTATTATTTTGCACATACATTGACTTTAAGTTGTCTTACATTACCTTAGAATGATTATAAAAGGCAAATACAATGTCAACCTTTATCTTAAGTGATATTACAATAGTTGGTCTTTAAGGGTGCACTCCGATGCATGCTTACTTGGGAAAAAGTCCATTTAACTTAATAGGATTTATTTGTTCAGGGAGGGGCTGTGGCTCAGTAGTAGAGTACTGGCATGCAGAATGTCCTAGGTTGAATCCCCGACATCTCCAGTTGAAAGGATCAGGTAGGAGGGGATGTGAGAGACATTAGCCTAAGACCTTGGAGAGCCGCTGTGAGTCTATGTAAACAACGACGACACTGATGGACCAATGGTCTGATTCAGTATAAGGCAACTTCATGTGTCCCTGTGTGTATTTCCAAATAAACTTGCATAGGACTGTGCTGAATAAATATAAATGGCTACAAATGAATTATGAACAGATCGGTAACATTATGGCAAGACGATTATGAAATTATATTTACGATCCAGAGTACCTTCTTCAATGGGCTCAAACTTTGCAATGAGATCAGAAGCCGCTGTTTCATTAGCGTCCTCCTGAAATTGCTGATTTCTAAGAAACTGAACCAGATCTGATAGTTGCAGAATTTTGCTGTTCGGAGAGTGACTTTTGAAGAGTTCATGAATTTCACATCTGTGCGCTATAGTCCGATAAATTCCTCTAAAATCCTCCAACGAAATATGTCCAGTCTTCAGTGTATCACTTGCCTACTTAAAAAAAGGGGGGGAGGATCCTGAGTATAGACAAATACTTAACTTTGCATAAGCAGCAACCAAAAAGAAAGTGAGAAAACTTCATGTGCGACCCTCACAAAAGCAGCTGATACTGAGAAATTGTTTCACTCCCTTCATTATGTTGATAGCCTTTATCAATAAGTTCATTTCACTGTGAATAAACTGGATGTCTAAATACAGTCAGTCTCTAAAACACTAACAGGTTAAAGAAAGAAGTCCATATGTTTAACTTTTCAAAATATGTAAGAGCCGTGCTGTGCCCAAATGGGCCATTTGGGAGACCACAATCAGAAACACAGAATTGTGGAAGGGATGTGTCTATCTAGTCCCATTTTCTGCAGCACAACCAGTTGCAAGGTGGAATGAGTCATTTATTACAGCCTTAGGCTATAGTATGGCAGATCTATAAGTAGCTTATAAAGAATCACCTCCAGGCAACTAGGCAGAGAATCTGTATGAAGCCTGGATCTTTGTTTCTTTTAGGACACACATGATTAGCATAGCTATGTGTGAACATGATGTTCCTCACCTCCATTTATCCTCACAACAACTGTGCAAGGTAGCTGAGAAAGAATGACCAGCCCAAGGTCACCCAATAAGTTTCAAGTCATCTGGAGATCTGAACCTTGGTCTCTCTCCCTAGACAAAGTTTGAAGCTCTATTTACCTGTTTTACCGTTGAAAGCCCTTTCGTGTACATTGCATATGATGTGCTTATTACAGCTTGTGGATTCAGCTAATGCACCATTGTGCAGAATTGCATTTTCCAGGTAGCTGCAGAAAATATGCATACGTATTTGTATAGACACACTATTAGTTCTACAGATTATAAAACTGCAAAATGACCACATTGTTTTGCTTAACTGATAGATAGTATATCAGGTGGGTATCCATGTTGGTCTGAAGCACCAAAACAAAGTTTGAGTCCGGTGGCACCTTTAAGACCAACAAAGCCTATACCTTGAATAAAACTTTGGCCCCGGGCACACGGACCGGATATTGCGGGAGGGAGGCATGGCTAATTGCCCCAGTTTGATCCGCAACTACACGATCAGACGCGCCGGCGGCACAGCATGGGTCCTTCCCTTGGCGCCAGCGGGTAAACGAGGGACCGGAGGGGAATGCCGCACGCTGGCGCGATCACACCACGGGCGTCTGGAGGCAGCCAGTGGCAAAAGTTTACTAGTACCTTGGAGGTACTCGTTTTTAAATGCGCATTGTCAGCGGTAAGCCACGGGTGCGCTCCACTTCCCAGTTGTTGGGGTGTGATCGCGCCCGGATAATCCTCCCACCTTCCATGCCTCTCCTGCGGCAAGTTTGCCGTGTGACCGGGGCCTTTGTTAGTCTTAAAGGTGCCACTGGACTCAAACTTTGTTCTGATGGATAGTAGCAGTCAATCTGGATAATTAATCCAGGTATCTTTTTCTTAAGGTTCCTAATAAAAACACACCTTGCCATTTTTAAGCCATTGATTTCAGACTAATACCACTAAGTCAGTGGTATGACCCATGTTTGAATCCTGCTCCGCCATGGAAGCTTGCCAGGTGACCTCAGGCCAATCACATTCTCAGCCTAACCTACTTCACAAGGTTTTTGTGGGGATAAAACGGAGGAGAGAAGGGGGATGTTAGCTGCTTTGCGTCTCCAACTTTTCACTGCATCCCAGAGCAAAGACACCATGAGGAGTTGAGAGTGGCACTATGCCAACTCACAGCTGTTCTCTGGGCTGAGAGTTCTGGCCCATCCAAGGGAAACTTCTGTAGCATCTAAGGGGCAATGGAGAAATTCCTACGGCATTGCAATGGGGAATTTTCTCCATTCTATCCCAGGGGCTTGCAGAGGGGAGGGGCTCAGAATGCTCTCATCCCAGAATGACTTCCCCCATGGAGACAGATCAAGATAGGAGATTTCTGTCTTGTATCCCAAAAGCTTGTGTTTGTACCTGAATCTCACACATTAGAAATATGTTATTATTTTGTCAGTTGAACTGATTCTAGGAATTCAGTGTGGTCCTAGATTCTACTCTAACTAGGGTTACCAGATCTGGGTTGGGAAATACCTGGAGATTTTGGGGATGGAGCTTGAGGAAGGTGGGGTTTGGGGAGGGGAGGGACCTCAGCTAGATAAAATGCCATAGAGTCCACCCTCCAGAGCAGCCATTTTCTCCAGAGGAACTGATCTCTGTAGCCTGGGGATCAATTATAATAGCGGGAGATCTCCAGGTGCCACTTGGAGGTTGGCAGCCAACCTATACTCTAAGCCATAACTTTAACCCATATCTTACACATTGTTAAAAAAAAGTCTGACAAAAATTACATAATTGTGACTACAGGGAAACCATAATCTGTTCATTAATACTCATATTTTGCATTGCTTATAAAATATATTAGGTGTGATATATTGTACATCAACATTTGTAAAGCCCATTGATTTCAGCAGATTTCAGAAACTGCTCAACACTCCTGCTGAAATCAATGAAATTTCAAAATGCTTAACTCTGACTAGACTGTGCCTTCAGTTCTCATCATGAATATTAGCAGTGCTCACCTGGTGGAGTTTGTGTAAATGAATGAGCTATGAGAGGAAAAAGAAACACACACAAACTTCAATTTTTGAACTAAAGGAGTAGGTAAGGAAGAAATGGGAACAATGGGGGAAAAAGGCAGGGCAGGCTCTGACTCTTACTAAAGAAATGTAACAGAAAGAACATTTCAAATATACCGACATGTAAAATAAAAGAGTATGACCCTTGCAAAATTAAATGCTTTGAAGTCTCCTAGATTTCAATGGGGGAGTTAAGCACTTGCTGAAATCTCTCCCTATTCAGAACATAACAATGCTCTGTTTTGCTGGATCATGCCCAAAATTTATGCAACTGAAAATGACAAAGGTATGTTTTGTACAGTAAAATGGGTTTTCGTTATGCCTACTTTCAGCTGCAGCTTGAAACTTCATTCTGTACAAAGGTTTTTCCCACAAATAATTATTCTCCATCTTTATATTCCAAAAAATGAACCACATACTAACTTCTTCACCAAATGTACATATTTGAGATCCCACAAAAAATAAAAGTTTACAATTTTCAGGAGGAAAGAAAAATGGGTTCACTTGATTTTTGTCTTGGGAGAAAGAATTTATGTCACAGCATGGAACAGATGAAAGGTTTCTGCCATTGAAGGGGAAACGTTTAATATGCTTTTGATTTTATGAAAAGGGTAAATATAGTTATACATTTTAAGTTATTATCATAAGTGTTTCCTTTCATCTTCAGTTTATGTTAACCATCTAAATTTTGAGTGACAGCCAATAGGTAGGCAGACGATGTAAAAACATCTTCGTGTTTTATTGAAATGAACATTCCAAATAAAACCTGATTATTGTGAAAGTTAGACAATACAGCTAAATCATGCATTGTTGAAGTCAGTGGGAGACCGGAACAAAATGAAAAAGGAACTATATAATGTAACAACAGTCGCCTGCCACAAACAGCTTATTATCTGAAATGTGAAAAAGAAAAAAGGAGACACCTCCAACAGAGACTATTCCATATATTAAAATGATTGTTCCTTGCTGTAAGCGTTTTCAAGACTGTACGAATGCAACAGAAGAGTATGCTCCTGTGAAAAAGCCAAAGGCTTGGTGCTGAAAGTGTTAAGGACAATCATTAACATCAAACTGAACAAAATGACACAGCAATATGCCTAAAACTGATGGCCATGACATTGTACCACTGTTGGTGGCAGTAAAAAGTGCCGTCAAGCTGCAGCTGACTTATGGTGACCCTGCAGTGTTTTCAAGGCAAGAGACATTCAGAGGTGGTTTGCCATTGCCTGCCTTGGTGCAGAGGACCTTGGACTTCCCTTAGTGGTCTACCATCCAAGTACTAACCAGGGCTGACCCTACTTAGCTTCCAAGATCTGCCAAAAGCAAGCTATCCTGGGCCATCCAGGTCAGCCTATACTACTACCACAGGCAGCAACTACTATGTGCAAAGGCCTGTATTGAACATATTAGTGACATCAGGACCTTGACAGAGGGTGTTCCGTCCTGGATGGAACTGATGAAAAATGTCCTCGTGAGAAGCGGCATATGACTTTCACAAATGAGCAGATAACTTAATCTGGTTTTCAGTACTTAATCTGGTTATCAGTTCCTCTGTTCATTTAGCATATAGTGAAAAGGTAAAGGTAAAGGTTTCCCTTGCTCGAAAGCCAGTCGAATCCGACTCTAGGGTTGCGGTGCTCATCTCCGTTTCAAAGAACTGCTAGGTTGGCAGGAAGCATATAGTGAACTACCCCTTAAAACACGCTTTTAAGCTAAAGCCAACAGATTCCTCTTATTTCTAAAACTATTCAATAATACCAGTTTGCTCACCTTAAAAATGTACTTTACATGAACATAATCAAAAGGGATGTCAAATTTGGTAAGCAATTCCAAGGTACTTTCAAAATTAATCCTTCCTTTTCTAAACTTGTCATGGATGACACTTAAAAACCATGTAAAGGAAAAAGCTAGTCAAGGAAACTGGCAACATATTAAACATTTTGCAGGGTTTTAAAAAAACAAAACAAAAAAACTGTTTCATCAATGGCAATTCTTACTTATATAGCATCCTCAGTGTATATGGCACCCAGACAAGCAACAGAATAAAAATACAGACCCACGTCCCAACATGCTTTTAATCAAAATTTCTACCGTGAGGGCATGACCAATAGATGGAAGGCAGGGGGTTGAAAAAAAGTTACCAAAGAACAGAGCAATGAATGAGAGAAGCAGGAGAAAATATTCCTCTCCTAAAAGAATGTTTAGGGGACTGGTTTGCACAACAACCATTCATACACAAAGATCTATATAAATGCCCCCAAAGTGCATCAACAGGGAACACTGGATTTTGCCTCCTGGTACACTGACTTTGGTTAGGGAAGGAGGGTAAGTTATTCTTCTATATCCGTTTCTATTATTTTCTCAGTACCAAATTCTCGATTGTAAACTTGAGACATATACCATTTGGGAGGGGCTTGAGAGTTGGGTTTTTTTAATTGGTTACATTGTTAAATAGGACAAATTTTGAGTCCAGCAGCACCTTTAAGACCAGCAGCATTTAATTCTGGATATAAACTTTTTTGTGCGCATGCACACTATCTGAAGAATTACACTATCTGAAGAACCTACTCAGAATTAAACTTTGTTGGTCTTAAAGGTGCTGCGGACTCAAAATTTGTCCTATTTAACAATGTAACCAATTAAAAAAACCCAACTCTCAAGCCCCTCCCAAATGGTATATGTCTCAAGTTTACAATCGAAAATTTGGTACTGAGAAAATAATAGAAACGGATATAGAAGAATAACTTACCCTCCTTCCCTAACCAAAGTCAGTGTACCAGGAGGCAAAATCCAGTGTTCCCTGTTGATGCACTTTGGGGGCATTTATATAGATCTTTGTGTATGAATGGTTGTTGTGCAAACCAGTCCCCTAAACATTCTTTTAGGAGAGGAATATTTTATCCTGCTTCTCTCATTCATTCTTTGGTAACTGTTTGGTAACAGTTTGGTAACTAACTCAAACTTTGTTCTGTTGCTTCAGACCAACATGGCTACCCTACCTCTATTGTTAAATAGTGTTCTGTTGATTGCAATATTTAAATTAATCACATTTTAATTTTGTTGCGAGATTGGTATGCAAGCCTTTCCCTTCTAAAACAGCTCTGTGCTGAATACCTGAGAATACCCCATTTCCTTAAATTTCCCAATCTGTTAATTAGGTGTAGACTGTTTCTTGGAGGGGGGAAATGCAGGTCTCATGCAAATAAGATTGTTTCTCCCTCTCTATCCTTGAGCATTTGGTAGAAGGGATGGCTTTTTTTAGGGTTGCCAACTCTGGGTTTTTTAAATACCTGGAGACTTGTGGAGTGAAACCTGGGGAAGATGGGTTTTGGGGAGGGGAGGGACCTCAGCAGGGTATTTGGCCATCTAGTCCACCCTCTGAAGTAGCCATTTTCTCTAGGGGAACTGATTTCTGTCATCTGAAGATCAGCTGCAGTTCCAGGTGATCTTGAGGCCCCACCTGGACCGTGGAAAATCTAATTCCTACACATTTTGTGTGTATGTACGTATGCCTGTACCACCATCTAAAGTAATAGCAATCTTTAATAACTGCTGTATATATGCACACAACTATCTAGGTAGCTATATATATTTTCCCCCCTATACTCTCTTTTCTCTCCATGAGTTTTGGGGTCAGGGGGCCTTTTCCCACACGAATATTCCTACAACGTGGGTGTGCATGTATTTCTGTGTGTCAAGATATGCAGGAATAATAATCTCTGAAAATTATTTCCCCTGTGTATGAAGATACATATATAAAAGCACATTAAAAGGAGAGGGAGAAGACATAATTCTTCTCTTTTTCACTCCATCCTTAAGGCAGGAAGGGTGATTTCCCCACTGTTTTACAGATTGTGTATGTTTGTGTATCACCATCTGCAGGAGTAACAGTCTCTAAACACGGTTGCCTCTGTAACCCTTTTCACTCTACGATTTTGGCAGTTCACCCTCACACACCAAGAGAGCACGCAGCACACAATTTATCCAACATGTGTGATCACCAATACGTGTGAATGGGGCAACATACTTATTTGCCAGCTTCGATACATGTTATCAGAAAGCCTGAAGAAAAAAACATTCCCAGTCTCATGGGGCAAAGTTGGAAAATGCATGTTGCCCTACCCACACAATGTAACAACCATCCATGTACAAAGAATGGCACGTAGTAAACTCACTATGTGGAGAAATGCTGAAACTGTGACACCCAAAAAGGATTTTCACATGCACATCTATTTGACAGGCATATCTGCATAGATTAGGACTGCCAGCTCTAGGTTCAGAAATACCTGGATATCTGAGGGTAGAGAGTGGGAAAGTGGGGTTTAGGGAGGGGAGGGACCTCAGTAGGGTGTAATAATATGCAATGCAATCACCTTCCAAAATGTCATTTTCTCCAAAAGAAACAGAATAAAGATTTTAAATTTAAAAATAATAAATGATTTTAGGGTTGCCAGCTCCATGTTGGGAAGTATATGGACAGGGTTTTTTTTTTTTGGGGGGGGGAGGCCCGAGGAGGGCAGGATTTGGAAGGGGAGGGACTTCAATGGGGTATAATCCACCTTTCAAAGTGGTCACCTTCTCCAGGTGAACTGATCTATCACCTGGAAACAAACTGTAACCCAAGATCTCCAGCCACCACCTGGAGGTTGACAACCCTATGATCAGCTGTAATTCTAAGAAGTTTCTGGGCCACTCCTGGAGGTTGGCACCCCCAGATACACATAAAAGGGGGAAATACCTATTTATTCTGCTTTCCACATAACATGGGGGGGGGTAAACACTCCATTGGGGCTGCCGGAAAGGGGCTGCAGCTAGTAGGGGCTCAGGGGAGGGACTGTAGCTCTGCTTGGCATGCAGAAGGTCCCAGGTTCTGTACCTACAATGTTCTGTTTAAAGCACAAAGCAGTAGTAATATGAAAGACCCTGGAGAAACTGTCAGTCTGGGTAGACAATACTGACTTTGATGGACCAATGGGTCTGATTCAATATCAGGTAGCTGATTCCTGTGTTCATGAGTGTTCCTATGTGTCTTAGTGAGATTGTAAAATAATATATGCCTCATTTAGGGGCTGTACTTAGGGATAACCTCCAGGTGGGTCCTGGAGATCCCCTGGAATTACAGCTCATCTCCAGACTTGAGGTCACTTCCCCTGGAGAAAATGGATGCCTTGGAAGGTGGACATTGCACCCCACTGAGGTGCCTCTCCTTCCCAAGCTCCACCCCCAATCTCCAGATGTTTCTCAACCTCACAACTCTAGCTGGTCATACGGGGCTGGCTTCATATAGGGTTGCCAGCGCCGGATTGAGAAATACCTGGAGATTTGGGTTGGTGGAGCCTGAAGAGGGTGGGGTTTGGGGAAAGATTTCAGTGGGGTACAATGCCATAGAGTCCACCTCCCAAAGTAGCCATATTCTCCAGGGGAACTGGTCTCTGTCACCTGGAGATCAGCTGCAATGGCAGATCTCCAGCCACCACCTGGAGGTTAAAATACAAAAACTGAGGGTAACTGTGTAAGGAAGATATGGAAAAAAATATATATGACACTGTATATAATAGATGTATGCGTAAGGCAGATCTATTTCCGGCTTTTTATTTTTCTATACTATTATATAAATATTAGCGGTCATTACCATAGGTTTGGACTGGTGAAACTGACACCTGAAACTGACAAGGTGCTGTTTGAATGTTTGAACATGGTGTAAAGCTGCACCTTGATTTTTATTTTATTTTTTGGTGGAGCTATGTTGGTAATACTTGACACTAATACTTATAAAATAGTATGGTCAAAATTATACAAATGGATAGACATTTACCTTGGAGAACTGATAATGTGACTATAACCAAGTGAAGAACTGCTCTAACATTGTATGTAAATTGAAACAGGTGTAAAAGAAAACGGATTTACTATACTATGGACATTTAAGCAGAGACAAGAGTAATGTGCTCTAGTGTTTATTGTTTGTTTGTCTTATGGGTTGTCTTATGTTGTTGTTTGTTAAACTTCTCTTTGAAATTAATAAAATCTTCTTTAAGAAAAAGGGAAAACTTTTAAACGTTGAAAATAAAAGGCTCAAAACAGATCTACCTCAAGCATACATCTATTATAAAAAGGTAAAGGTTCCCTTGCTCGAAAGCCAGTCGAATCCGACTCTAGGGTTGCGGTGCTCATCTCCGTTTCAAAGCCGAAGAGCCAGCGCTGTCCGAAGACGTTTCCGTGGTCATGTGGCCGGCATGACTAAACACCAAGGCGCACGGAACACTGTTACCTTCCCACTGAAGTGGTACCTATTTATCTACTTGCAATTTCTTGCTTTCGAATTGCTAGGTTGGCAGGAGCTGGAACTAGAGACAGGAGCTCACCCCATCTTGCGGCACCCGGGTCTTGAACTGCTGAACTACTGACCTTCCACAGCCTGCAGTTCAGCGTCTTAACCACTTGAGCCACCGCAGCTCCTCACATCTATTATACACAGTGTCATATATTTTCCCATCACTACCTGGAGGCTGGCCACTCTTACAGTGGTCTGATTCACTACGTGTGGACTTTTCTGCTAGCCTACCGGTCTCCCTACAGGCTGTGCGTGTATAGGCACAAACAAGCACGCAGGGAGCAACGATGCAGCACGGCCATTCCTGCAGACGGCGGGTGACCTGCTGCGCATCAAGAATTGACGCTTTTGGGGGGGGGGGCAGGAACGGCCTCTCTCGCCCTCCCAACACCTCCCCACTCCCCAGCCCGGGGAGGGCGGCGGGAGGAAGGATATCTGGCTTCCATGGCAGCTGCTCTTCATGGCCTTTCGTGTCTGCTCCTCACTGCGCGGGTCTCCGGAGCCCCCAGCAGCGCCTCATCGCTCTCCCCCGGGCCCGCCAGGGGAATAGGGGTTCCCGCCCCCCGCGACAGCTCT